TGCGGTATTAACAAAAAGCATAGGTGGGGTACATACACACATAGCACTGATATGGGAATCGTATGTATCAAATAACTGTATTAAAAGCTTAAAGCAAATGGACGAGAATTCATTGTGAAGTCGGGAATGTGCGAACGAGCATTTGCGTCAAGGGTTTGATCAGTTTCTACTACTAGAACTAATCTCCAGGGGCTGTGCCATGAAGCCTGTATGACTTTACTACTAACAAGATAAAAGTGGCAAATGGGGATTTGCGTAGAAGAACCACTATTGTCATATCGGTTTATCTACTACATGAGAAAGAGATACCGATGCCAGGCATGCGAGATGTAATAGAAAACTGCAGGTTTCAGAATGTTGACTTGATTGTTGCATGCGAAACCAATGTTTACCATACAGCATAGGGAAGCACTAATATTAATGCAATGAAAGCAAAGAGTAGCACTCGAATAAGACATCAGTACCAAGATAGATATTGTGAATCAAGGAATGAGCCCACCATTATACATTGGTTTCAATAGGCATCAAAGATAAAACAAGTAGGATGAAGAGTGGTGAAAGAAACATTCATTACAGACCATAAGACTATTACTTCACATAAAAGGTAGAAGACAGAAAACCAAAAAGTCAGTCTACGAGGAATCCAGAAAATACAGATTGTCAGGGATACAAGGAGGAGCTAAAGAGATTGGCTACCTTTAAAAGCAAGTATCGCAGCTGCGAAGACTTGGACTGGACATTACATCAGGTACAGAGTACCTTATTGGTGACATACGAGAGAAATGACCCCCTTAAAACACGAGTACAATAAAAGAAAAGAGAAGTCCAGAAAACTTTCAAGAGAGCGAGGGAGTTTAACTCAGAAGAATGGAGTGCTTATAAAACGCACTTACAAATTTCAAGAGGAAAGTGAATGTAACAAAGCGGGAGATATGGTAAAACAATTGTCAAGTAAGGAAAGCTTGGGAAACACTGATAAACAAGCCAGGCTTCTGACTAAGGAGAGCAGCGCTTGTTTACAGAGTATAAAAGACGGCCCAGATCATATATCCATAGAAGTTTGCAGTAGTGTAAATTAATATGAGTGGAAACTAATATGATTAATAAGACAAAAGTTCTTAGCCTTACAATTAAAAACAGAGGAGGAACAGTTTGAGCTGCGCGTAAAAATAAGCTTTGCTGCCCGTGTAAGGAGGGAGACGAAACGGCGGTAGGGACTCAGGTACAACGAGAGGTGGGAACACGGGAGAATCTAGACTGGCAATAGCAGTACAAACCGTCTCTGGAAAAAGTGAGATTAGTGAACTCCTTTGAATCGTATAAAACACCGAGCCTGAATGGCATCTTCCTTAAGATACTACAGGAAAGATGAAATAGCATCTTGGGAAAGTTTACGGGCATTCTAAGAAGGTGCATTGCCACAAGTCGACACCTAAAAAGTGAAAGAAGCCTAAGGCGTCAATTATTCTCAAGACAAGAATAAATACTCAACGGTAGGGCAACTGCAAAAAATAAATGGAGCACTCAGGAATGATTGTGATTTTTGATCGCGCGGTATTTACAATGACAATTTTAGGGAATATACTGATTTGTTAGAGCGGTAGGTATCCTAATGGTCACTGAGGGTTAACTAGGAAGATAGTTCTCAAACTATCCGAGATAAATACAATAGTGAAAACTGAGTGTCCCTGAGTTATTGATCAACTCGAATAGAGTGTCAATAATAATAATAATAATATGAATTGATCGAAAATAATCTAAAAGGTGGCGAGACATACCTTTATGAATGCTGTTCAAACTTCTTCTCGCTTCGTATGAAGTAACATTCTCCTTTTCATCAAAGTGATAAATATTTAAATCTTCGATATTATCTGCTATAGTAATAGGCAGCGATTCAATGTTAATAGTGAATTATCACTATTTTCTGACTTTGAAGCTTTTTTAATTACTGATGTGTATATGGCAGTGCTATTTGGGCCTGAAAATAAAATAAAAACAATCATAAATTTTGTTATAGAATACCATAAATATTATTATGAGGAAACGGTTATTAGTAATTTATTTTTGTATAATCTACATATATAGCAAAAATTACTTTCAATATTTAAAAAAAATTAGATAATCTATGTATATATTGTACTTTTTGAATGATGAGGAAAAGTATGCTTAAAGTAAAAAAAAAATTGAATTTCAATACACGAATCATAAAAATAATTATACATGAACAATTAATTTGAAATTCGTAATTTTTCATTTAAAATTCATTGGATGATGATATTTTTATATTAAATTCAAGCTAATTACAAAATGGAGCAATTTACATGCATACTTACAGATTTCAGTAGCGTAACTAGAAGAAAGAATATCACTGTTTAGAGATATATTTATATCTTCTAGATTTATATCTGGCAAATTCTGATTCAAAAATTTTGCGACGTTATCTAGTACGCATCTTTCATCTATAAAAAAGAAATAATTTAGTTAATCAAAAGAATAACGCTTTGATATAGATAAACACGTCGAAATGCATATACGTGCATTTTCATACATAACCGGCACAAAAGAATTACTTTTCAGTGCTATTTAGACCAGGCATAATTTAATTTTTATCATTTTTAATTAAAAAAAATGCAATATTTGATTTATTAAAAAAATTAAAATAAATGTAGCTCTTTTGCGTCTGCGCGTTCACCAAGCACTGGTGAATTTGATAACCTGATCGTAAAATAATCACTTTTGTAATTTGCTTTTTATCCGTTGTAACGGGTGATTCAATCAGACAAAGGGTCATCCCCCCCCTGCCCGACCAGCAGAATTAATCTAAATTAAAATAAAATTATACAATCTGATAGATTTTTAATTGCCCAATAATTTAATTGTCCTTAGATGTTTTTGCCCATCTATAGTTTGTCAGTAATTAATTAATAATAATTGATTTACCATCTGCGATTTTAAACTTTAATATCTTTTTTATTATATCTTTCTAAAGTTTTAAAAAATTATTCATGAATCAATTTAATTTGCCCAGTTGACTATAATGACAAATGTTTAATATTAAAAAAAAATTTTAACAAAATACGGACTCTATTATAGCTTGCGTGATTTGCTTTACTTTACTTTACTTTACTAGATGGCGGTGGGTCTCTGTCTGAGACGCCGATAAGCCAAAACGCATGCGTGAACTTTGCGTGATTTGTGCATTGCGCATGCACAGCTACGCTGCACCATAATTTGCCCGCTTCTCAAGAGTTTCGGAACAATCCTTAAGTTCAGTGTGTCTGTCTGTTTACAATAATAATTAATTAATTTATATTTTATGACTAATCACTCTCATCTGTTTTAGTGGTTCCAAACAAATAATTATGGAGTAATGATAATGTTGTGTATTTTATATTATTTTTTTTATTACCTTACTAATCTGGACATAGATATATTTTTTTTATAGATGCTAAACTCTCAAGTCTGAATCACCAATATGATGAGCATAATAAAAGAAATCAATTGGTGTAATACTCCAATAATATAAATTAATATTGTAAGCTATAAATTAATTATTATTGTAAAGAGACAGACACACTGAACTTAAGATTTGTTTGGAAACTCTTAAAAAGCGGACAAATTATGGAGCAGCGTAGCTGTGTATGCGCAATGCATAAATCACGCAGGCTATAATAGAGTCCATATTTTATTAAATTATTTTGTATAAAATATTAGAAATTTATAATTGTAGGCAACTGGGCAAATTGAATCGATTCATAGGCAACTTTTAACAATTTTAGGAAGTTATAAATATATTATAATAATAAATTTTGTTAAAATCAACTTGCTCAGCATTTCCTATGTATGCGCATGCGCGTGCGTTGTGTGTGTACTGTGCATTCAAGACTAGGCCAACGAGCCGCCGTTTCTGTATAAGCAAGGAGCTCACTCCTTCTGCGACCGCTTAGAAGAAAGCAGCAATAAACATCTTTTGTAACTCGTGTGTGCGTTTGGTTTCCTCCGCCTTTCCTTACAACAGGTTATCGGCCCCAGCACGCTTCCGCTGCGTGAAGATTGATAAATAATCAAGTAAGTAAAAGTGAGTGATTTAGATGAAAAGTATAGATGAAAATTGACGAAATCGCGAGTGTTACAGAAGTGTGAGTTTTTTATAAAAATAAATAAAAAAGGCTGCGATTTAGAAGCGTGAGTGTTATCAGAGGATTGGTAATAAAAAAACTTGTTAAAGAAAGTAGCATCGCGAGCTCTCTCTCAGAGGCTGTCGTAATAAAATTTTGGAAGTTCGTTCGACAGCAAGCGTTGCATGTCTCGACCGGCAAAACAAAGGCGCGACGTCATGACACCGAGCCGAGCACGTGTAGAAGGCATAAAGAACCGAACAACAGGTCGGCGCGTGTCTGAAATTCCAGAAAAAAACTATAAGAAAGAATGTAAAACGAAAACAAAATAACTGAAATATAATTTCATTAAATGATGAGATATAATAAAATAGACGTATTTCGAAAAAAAAGATGTGATTGTGAAATTAAATAGAATTAACTAGAAGAATAAATTAGAATGATTGGAGTTAAATAAAAATTAGAAGTATTCGAAGAATAAACTAGACGCACTCTATTGATGAAAAATTAGAAAGTTGTTGAAATTATAAAATGTTATAATGTACTAAATTGAAGTGAAACTAATCATAACATAAAGTTAAATTGTAAAGTCGAGAAATTTCGGGCGATGTTCGAACGTTTTTCTCTCAACAGACTAACGTAAGCTTGGAACACATTCCTGGTGCTTTGCATGTGTGCGATCGCGCCCTGCTTAAGGGACTTTGTCGTTGTACGATCCTTTAGTGGAGTGCACGTGTTGAGTACCAGTGTGTGCAAAGAGCAAACGTCGTTTCCAATCCGAACTATCAAACGTTTTGATGGGAAGGAAAAGAAACTGCTCTATATCCATGAGAAACTAATTAAAATGTTTGGTACTTATCTAGAGGTCTACAACACATCGAAATGGGAGATATCCCAAAATATGGTCATGCTGAAAGTGGCACTCCTCCGGGAACACCACCCACTTTAAGACAGGGTCATGTTTCTCATGGTAAGTATAACAAAATGATAACAATCAAATAAAATTATATGCATATAAAACCAAAAAAACTTAATTAGAAGCCATATTAGAAGTAGATGTGCGGATCCGCCACTAGAAGTTCATTATAGAAATTATAAACAAAATCCAAACACTAATTAAATTTTTCATTCCACATAGATGACGAAAACAGCAACAATTCTGTTGAGGAGGCTCTAAGAAGCTCCGGTTCGGTTGAGGAAAATGCTATAACTCCGGAAGGTGTCGATGGCTTCCCAGCACAACCTCTAATGAATCCTGCTCCGGATATCCAAACGATATCTGGAGACTCTGCCAGAATAGCTGATGCCGTTATTGACAGAGTTACTCTAGAAGTAATCAGCAGATTAAATCAGAGGTTCCCTGGTTTACTGGAACCAAGCACCCCAGCCGCTTTTCTTTTGCCGTCCGACAGAGGAGCAAACAGCATGCTCAGACAGAGATTAGATCAAGTGGAAGAGATGCTGAGATCTAATGAAGCAGCGACTGCAACTCTGAGGTCAGCCGTGGCAGCAGCAGAAGGAGTGCTTCAAAAGAACTTAGAGTTAGAAAACGCTACTATTAGACGTCTAGAGGTAAATCACTCACAGCCCAACAATTCATTAACTCCGAATAGCTCGACTCCTCTGAATAATACTAATCTAGCAACCCGAATACCAAATAATTCGGATATATTAGATGACACAAACATTAATTTTCAAAATGTAGTACAACCAGTTTCAATTAACACTGTGAGAGAATCAGTTACTGAAAATTCTTTTGACGTCAATAAAGAATTATCTGAATCTATAGGCGCGTTAGCACACTCAATTGCGAAAAACAATAATGTAGCGAAAGATAATTTTAAACGTGAATACAAATTAACTAGAAACATGAACCTAAACATTTGGTTTGACTATTTGAATTCTGAATTAGAAGCCAGAGATCTTTTAGATGTAATAGATCCTTCAACATCTTGTGCTAAGCCATATGATACATTTGAAAAGTCTAGAAGAAACAAAATAGTAAGAGACATAATTATCAATCATTTAGAAGAAGATTATCATAAGAAAATTTTAGATGTTAAAGATCCTATTGCTATTTTGTCAATAATAAAAGATGCAAAGAAACTTGAGAATAACGTCTCTGAAGTAACAGTAAGAGCTAAACTCTATTCCATGAAAATAGGTAGAAGCGAAAAGGTCGATAAATTTTGTGACAGGTTTAATGCTATAATAAAAGAGTCAGAACTTTGTGGAAGGGAATTACCTCTTACCGAGGCTGAAAAAAGATGTGCATTTTATCAGGCTGTAAAAGACGAATTCCCAGGACTTAGCATTGCGTATTCGATCAAAAAGGCAAATCCGGAAAACAGTAACATGACTTTAGATGAAATAAAATCTATCGTGTTGCAGTTAGAAGCAGATGCACATAGAAGACAGCTAGAAGCTAGAGGTCAGGCAAACGTAGCAGACGCGGCTCAGACTGCTTTTGGCCACCGTGGTGGCACTGATGCCTGCTGGCGGTGTAATAAGCATGGACATGCAAAAGATGACTGCCCACTCATTACAACAAATGAGTGGTTCTGTTATGTTTGCCGAAGGATAGCTTCTCACAACGGAAGAAACTGTCCGAACAATGGGCGAGGCAATTCTGGATCTAGAGGGTACGTAAATAATATTTATAGAGGTAATTACAAAAAGGGTCAAAGTTCAGAGGGAGTCGGCTACAACGGAGTTTTTAGAGGAAGAGGCAATAATAATAATAACAGAGGTAGAAATAGTAATAATCGAGGTAAAAACAATAAAGGAAACAGAGGCGGGAGTATATTTAGAGGTAAAAGTCGATCTTTTAAATCCAACGCTAGACCATACACCCCGCACAATCAACATCAGAATAACGCCAAAACTGCAGCAGCACATGCAGCGATTCAAGGTAAGAGTAATACTCATACCTCAACTCATAATATAAGTTTCCTGGCTGATTCCGGTGCAACAGAACATATAATAAATAAAGGCTTTATTCTATCCAACTTTAAGGAATGTCCTGGGGCGGTTATTAGAAGTGCGAATAAAAATAGTACTGCTGATATTAAAATAGATGGAAAAGGAGACCTTGTTCTAGAAAAACTTGATAGTCAGGGTAAAATTGTTGTACTGCCAAACGTTCTAGCTGCGGAAAATATTAGTGAAAATCTAATGTCGCTTAGAAAGTTTGTTGATGCAGGCTTTAGTATATATTTAGATGATCGAATTTTGAAGGTTTTTGACAAAGAAACAAATCATGTGTATTTGTCAGGCGTTTATAATAAACCAAATTGGATAATTTCACTAAGTATTAAGAGTCCCGTTGATGTTCTAGAGGAAAAATATCATAGTTATAGATGTAACGCGAGAATGATCACTCTTGATGAAGCCCCTGAGGAAACTCCTGTTAAATCATCTAACGTGTTAGACGAAAATAACCAAAATAAAAATATAGATGCTGAACTTGAGAGGGAGTGCATTGTGGAGGAAATCAATTCTAGTTCAACACTTAACAATAATCCGTCACTCAAACATTTAAATTGCAAATTGGTGGACATAGATAGTTTAGAAGATGCAGATAAAATAGAAAACCTATTCACGTCATTTGAATTAGAAAAATTACACACTGAAAAATTAAACAAAGGTATGATGGCATGTTAGATTAGGTCACCCTTCGTTAGCTTATCTCAAAGAATTACAGAAATTAGATGTAAATTTGAAAGGAATAAAATTCGACGAAAATATAATGAACTGTGAGACCTGTATCCTTGCAAAATTGACGAAACTACCGTTTAAAGAAACAAGAACCAGAGCTACCAAACCACTTTATATGATTCATGCCGATACCATTGGTCCAATCAAACCAATTTCATTCCCAGATCAATGTCGATATATAATAGTTTTTGTGGATGACTGCACCAAATTTGCATTGGCCTATTCGGTAAAACACAAGTCTGAGTCAGGTGATTGTTTAGAGGTTTTCCTGATTAGTGCACGAAATCTGCTTGGTAGAAATGAAAAGGTCAGTTTTATCCGAGCTGATAATGGTACTGAATTCACAGGAGGAAAGTTTTTAGAAGTAATGAAAAGGGAGGGCATAGAACCAAATTTTTCTAGCCCACACACTCCACCACATAATGGTACCGCAGAAAGATTTAATAGAACCCTTATTGAGAAAACCAGGTCATTAATGATTGATTCTGATCTGCCTAAGAGTATGTGGCCGTTTGCTGTGGATGTATCTATAAACTTGTATAATAGAACTCCTAATAAATCAATTGATTTCAAGATCCCTTTGAAGTTAATAAATCCTGAAAGCAAATGCCACATAGATAAAATTAGAAGGTTTGGAAGTATTGCTTATGCTGCGAAACACGCCCTTGAAACAAAATTCTCAGCCAAAGCTATTAAAGGTGTGCTGGTAGGTCAGACATCAAATGGTTATATACTTTGGCACCCCAGCTCGGGCAAATTTGTTCACTCAAAACATGTTAAAATCAAAGAAAAACTTACATACAAAAATATTGAGAACAAAAGAATTTTTGAAAAGGATAGTGAATTAGAAGATGTAAAAGAAAATACAGTGCATTTATATGGAGATAATTTAGAAATATTAGAAGTCGAAGAAAACAACTTTAAAAACCTACAACAGACATTAAACCAAAACATGGGAGTTGACAGTTCAGTCATACCTGAATCTAAAGAGAATAAGAAGACCCGATCTACGGAACAAACTATAGGTGTAGAGCCCGTGAGAAAGCAACCGAAAAGAAATGTAAAAACTGCCAAAGACTATAAGGCCATGGATAAAGGAATTCCTGATGCTCGAATGGTAGTAGATACCAGCTTTGCGTTTTTAAGTAAAATAGTAGACATTGGCTCAGGAGATAAAGATGAGTCAGCATTTGCTCTTTTAGCTGTTGTAAATCATGATCCCATTAGTTTTAAAGAAGCAATGAGTATGGAAGACAAAGGTGAATGGCTTATAGCAGTTAAAGAAGAGTTGAAATCAATGGAAATAAACAAAGTTTGGAGTTTGGTGGACAGGCCAACAGTCTTGAAGAATGGTAAACGAGCAAACGTTATCGATTCTAGATGGGTATTTAAGAAGAAATTAGATAAATTACATATATTGAACAGAAAAGGTAGGCTCGTTATTAGAGGATTTATGGATAAAAATAATTATGAGCTCAGAGAAACATATGCACCAGTTTCTAGACTGCCGGTTATAAGAGCAGCTCTAGCTGTTATAAACAAGCTGGATTTAGAAGTCCGCCAGTTAGACGTAAAAACAGCTTTCTTAAACGGTACTTTAGATGAAGATGAAGAAATCTATATGGAAATACCAGAGGGTTTAGAAGTAGATGAATTCACTAGAAAGACTAAAGTTTGTAGATTACATAAAGTACTGTATGGTTTAAAAATAAGTCCCAAGAAGTGGAATGAACGGTTCACAGAAGAAGTATTAAAACTGGGTTTGCAAAAGGATATTAATGAGCCCTGCTTGTTTACTTATAGATATAAAGGGATTATTGTTTTTCTAGTCTTGTATGTGGATGATATTATTACGGCGAGCAATTGTTCAAAGAAATTAAAAGAAATAATAGATCATTTGAGCGGCGTCTTCCAAATGAAAAATTTGGGCGAACCAAAACAATTCTTAGGTATGACCATAAAGAGAGATAGAGGTAGCAAAATATTGAAAATCAATCAAACAGAGTATGTTTACAAGGTGTTAGAAAGGTTTGGAATGACTGATTGTAATCCACACGAAACACCTATGGTCACTCGACAAGCTAGAAGCAAGAAAATCAATCAAGTTCAAGATAAGACTATGAGAAAATTAGATGTTCCATATAGAGAGGTCATTGGATGTATTTCTTACCTGGCAAATGCTTCACGACCGGATATCTCCTTTGCAGTAAATTTCCTCTCGCGTAAGCAATCTAATCCCTCCGAGGAAGATTGGTTAGACGTCAAACGAGTACTTAGGTACTTAAAGGGAACAGCTGAGTTAGGACTTACATTTAGAAGTGATGGTGACACTTTGGAAGCCTACTCTGATTCAAGTTTTAAAGACTGGCCAGATTCCACTTCCACTAGTGGCATGGTCATTTCATTATATAAAGACACTGTTGCATGGAGAAGTCATAAACAAACTTTGGTAACTTCTTCAACCTGTGGGTCAGAGTATTTGGCGATGAGTGAGGTATGCAAAGACATCATTTCGTTGGATAAGGCATTAAGAGATATATTAGGCTACACCATGTATCCAGTTACTCTTTACTGTGATAATCAGTCTGCCAGAGATTGTACCCAAAAGGAGGGTAGCCATAAACTTAAAGATTTTGATGATACTTTAGAAGAGATTAAGAAACATCTGGTTGAAAGGGAAAGAACTGGTGTTAAAAGAAAATTGTCTGATACTCATGGAGATTTCGTGAAGCAGTGTGTTTTAGAAGGTAAAGTCAGTATTAGAGGGGTATCTACACATGATAATGTTGCTGATATATTTACTAAGCCACTTTCTCTTCAGCCCTTTAGAAAATACAGAAATATATTGCTGAACCATTACAACTGATATATATGTATAAAAATTCCTTTTGAATTTTTCAGAGGTAGCTGTTACTAATAATGCTGAATGAGAGACGTTGATGATCGAGGTAGATGAGTTTAGAAGAATTTCATTTAGAAGAAAGAATTAAGTTAATTATAAGAAAAGTCAGTTCCTATTTTTGTATTTAGAAGTTTTTCGTTTGTATTTATAATTTTTGTATTTAGAAGTTTTTCGTTTGTATTTATAATTTTTGTATTTAGAAGTTTTTCGTTTGTATTTATAATTTTTGTATTTAGAAGTTTTTCGTTTGTATTTATAATTTTTGTATTTAGAAGTTTTTCGTTTGTATTTATTTTTTTTTGTATTTAGAAGTTTTTTGTTTGTATTTAAAGCTTTATTTGTGTTTTTTTTAAAAAAATTCTTTGTACTTGGACATATGCAATGCAAAGCAAGAGAGGGAGTGTTAAAATCAACTTGCTCAGCATTTCCTATGTATGCGCATGCGCGTGCGTTGTGTGTGTACTGTGCATTCAAGACTAGGCCAACGAGCCGCCGTTTCTGTATAAGCAAGAAGCTCACTCCTTCTGCGACCGCTTAGAAGAAAGCAGCAATAAACATCTTTTGTAACTCGTGTGTGCGTTTGGTTTCCTCCGCCTTTCCTTACAACAAATTTATTAAAGTTTAAAATCGCAGATGATAAACCAATTATTATTAATGAATTACTGGCAAACTATAGATGAGCAAAAACATCTGAAGACATAATCGTATTGAGCAATTAAAAAACTATCAGTTTCTATAATTTTATTTTATTTTTAATTAATTCTGAAGGCCAGGGGGGGGCCAAAAAGTCGTTGACTGCTCTCTTGCCATCAGCATATAACCTTAGCTCTTGATAAGCTAGAGTATTTAATATTGTACACTAATTTTATTTATAACTTTCTTCAAAACTATTATTTGATATATTGAATAATATAAAAAATGAAGGCTTTTTTAAGAAAAACAACTCAAAGTGATGTTGAGTAGCAGCAGTCAAGTTTCATTTATGAATATATAATTTTATTAATTTGAATTAATTGATGGTGATTAGCAAACCTCAACTATATTTTCACTAATAAACTTTCAACGTAATGTTCCATTATTGTGCAATAACTAAGCCTGATTTATCTGTAATTTACAAATAATACTTTAAACAAAATCATTTTTACAAAGTTATTTTTCATACGTATACAAGTTAATTATTTAATGTTGAAAAAAATTGCATATTCAGCAAATGAAATTAAAATATGTTCATCTGGTAATGAATCCCCATACAATAAACAAGACTCCCTATGATTGTATATCATAAAGACTCTTGTTTATTGTATGGGACTTAATAAACAGATAAGTATATTGAAATTTAATTTGGTTAACATGTCATTTTTTGAACATTAAATAATGAACTTGTATACGAATGGAAAATAACTTTGTAAAAATGTTTTTGTTTCAAATATTATTTGAAAATTACAGATAAATAAGGCTTAGTTATTGTACAATAATTATGTTGAAAGTATATTATTGAAAATATAGTTGAGGTTTGCCAATCACCATGAAAAGAACCATCACACAAATTTATAATCAAGAACTATTGAAAAAATTATACGAATATGGATTTATAAAATGAATAGTAATCAGTAATAATCAGTAAATCAAGTAAAACCGTTCAGTAATTAACAAAGGCCAAGTTGATATTCTTTTGATGGCGATTAGCAAACCTCAACTATATTTTCAATAATAAACTTTCGACATAATGTTCCATTATTGTGCAATAACTAGGCCTTATTTCTCTGTAATTTTCAAATAATACTTGAAACAAAAACATTTTTACAAAGTTATTTTCCATATATATACAAGTTCATTATTTAATGTTGAAAAAAATTACATATTATCCAAATTAAATTTCAATATACTTTATATCTGTTTATTAAGTCCCATAAAACAAGTGAAACTGACAATGATTTATTTTAATGAAAAATATTTTTATTTTAGCAAGGAACAAAAGCGAATACATAACCAACAACAAATATTAAAATAATTAATTTAATAAATAAATATAAAAAATTTAAGGCTTATAAAAGTAAAACTTACCATTACTGCAGAGGACATTGCATTCCGTTGGTTGTAATTCATTGTCACACTTAAACGAATATTTTTTATTTACTTGCTTAATGAATTTACTCTTCATTACTAAAAAAACCTCGTTTTTTAAACTTTTTATCAATGAAAACATTTTTAATATCACCACGAAAGTTTACAATTTAAGTCAATAAATATCGATACAGATTTAAACTAAGATTTGAGATTTTCTATATCCTCTGTATAAAATCTATATAACATTTTAAAACTTTATAAAATTTTTAAACTTTATATATTACATGTTTGAAATTTCTAAATTAGACGCTAAACTATCATAAATGTAGACTCGTCGGCATATGTAACAGTGGACCAGTAACTAAAATTATGTGGACTGTCCGCATAAGTGCACTTGTATGCGTAAAAATACCGTGACAATTATGCGTACGTCTGCATAAGTATCCTTTGAGTCTGCATAAGTTATCTTGGTCTGGTATATGCGTCTGCACGAGTGACAAATCATCTACATATATATATATATATATATATATATATATATATATATATATATATTGTGACGGTAAACGTCAAGTTAGCGCTAACCATTTAACCTTATTGCTGTCCGTGAGGGCAGCACCTCCCGGGGGGACAAAAATACGTAACGAAGGAATTCGGCTCGCGAGCAGACGGAACGCGCGCGAACGAATTTGAACCAGTGAAGCATCGACCGTAGTTGAGTCCGCCCGCTTCCGTTATTACCGCCACCGATTCACGTGCCCTAGTCATCAATACGCTTCGTTAACCAGCAGCCAGTGATCCAGGATTATAGCCGCCGAGGAGCTGCCCAGCTGCGAGTCAGAGGCCCGATCGAGAGAGAGAGAGTGTGTGAGGTTTCGCCATCGAGGGCGAAACCGGTGTGTGCGCGCTTTCGCGTCCCGCGAACAAAACAATAAGGCGACATTAAACTGTTCTGTGCTGTGCGATTCGCTGTGATTTTCCCCGATCGCCCGCAATTACAAGGTAAGCTGGCCAGCTTGATTTCGCGATCGCGAGCATAAAATAATAACTTGATACTAACTCTCGATGCGTGCATGTAACGGCTCTAATAACAGAGAGCAGCGAGCGTACCGGCAAAGCGTGTTGCCGATGAGCGAGCGTGCATGTAAACAAACGCGCGGGCCGACCTTTTGTGAGTTTAGAAAGATAATAAAAGATCCAATTGACCGCACTAACAAGTGTTTTCATTAATTCTCTCTTCTCACATAGCTTCCACTCAATTTAGTTTAGGTTATAAACGATAATCGGTTGACCGGCGTATGCTTTCTCGTGCTCTCCCGGATAAGCAGTGAGCACTAACGATTAACGCGTGTCCCCTGAGTATAATCACGCGATATATTTATTAAACGGTCATACCCCGTTACATGGCGCCCAACGTTAAAGAACCTACGGTGTTTTTGATTGTGCAAAACACCGGTTCTTAATATTAACCTTGTGCTCGGTCAACCATCAGCTCAGGTGGCAGTCAAGTGTTGTTGTGCGCACTCGACACCGAAAGCCACAAGTGTAAACAATACCTGTTAGCTAGCTTGTGAAGGCCCGCCGCGGCGAAAAATTGTAAACATTGACTGTGAACGCATGCGAGTGCGACCGAAAGATTCTCGAGCGTAAACACCAACGAATTTTGAAAGTTACCGTAAATAATATTATACCCGTTGGCCCGGGGAAAACTAACACCGGCAATTTTCAAACGAAATTAATTTAATCGAATAATTTTATTTGTCATTGTCGTAACATAAAAGTTCTTTTTAATATTATTGTCTGCGGTTATTGGTGTTTACGCACAACGCTCATTACAATATTTTAGATACTAACTCACACAGCCGTGCTAACAAACAGTTAGTACGCCTGATAGGTAGGATCATTATATTGCGTATTGACGAGCAAAGAATCTTTCGGCAATTAATCCGTAAAGCGCCCTTGATCAAGCCCAGTGCTGACAAATAAAATTTTTTTTTATTTTTCAATTCGGCGCACGAATTTTGATATAACACTCGCACGCGCGTAACACACCTGTAAACTTACATAAAAGTCAACCGCAAGTAACCTAACAGTAAATCATGAACCGCACTCATACTGAAGTAGAGAATTGGGTATGGACGCTCCAGGAGGAGGAAATAGAAGAATACCTCGACCAGCTGGAGCTCAAGACTAGCGGGAGCAAGCTCTCGAGAGCTGCCAGACTGCACAACTGGCTACTCGGCGACTATTCCGCAGCAGATTTCGCGGAAGTCGAACACCAAAACAGCAGTCCAGCCAAGAGAGCCGCCCTACGCTCGGAGCTAATTGCGTCCCTATGCCAGGAACACACAGCATCCGAGCAGGAAGGGGAACACCCGCTAGCCCAACTACTACAGAGTGCGGACGTAATATCGCGAGTTCAAAAAACCGCGATAAACATCGCGAATGCCCTGGACAGCGGAGAAAAATCAAATAGTAATAAAGAAATTACTATAACAACTGACGAAGGATACCAGTTTAAACTCCCGCCGGCATTCGCAATTATGATTCAAGACCTCATTTTCCGATGCAGGGAACATGAGAGGAAATGGGAGGTACAAGAATCGCAAAATAGAAATGCGTCTGACATAACCCAAGTAATGCAGGAAATCGTCCAGACCAACATCAGGGTGCAAGAACATATGGACAACCTAGCAACCAGGATTACGGAACTGGAGAATGCCGTGAACAAAATTACGCGGCAAGACGAGTCAAACAGTTCCAATGAGGAACCGCAACCCGAAAACACGCGTAGGAGTGTCGCATTCCAGGACACTTTCACATGCCATTACGACGCAAGGCTACCCCAGAGCACTCCAGCCGGACCCGGCCTGAGGCCCACGGGGGCCCACGACAGG